CGTATGCGGCCAGGGCCCCGAGTACGCAACCCAGGGTTATGGAGTAGTAGGGGCGATCGACGGAGTGCACTATTGAGTAATTGGGGCGATTGACAGAGCGCACGCCTCGGCAAGGGAAGAGGCCGAGGTTTCTAGAGGAGGTTGTGGTCGTTGACCCAGAAGAGGCTGCAACCTAGTTCGATTGTTTGTCGCCTTCAAGGGGGGGCATGTCGGAGTGTGCCACGGTAGGGAGCTTGGCTAGACTGTACATGCCGCAATAGACTATTCGTCTAGAGGACATCCTTGAGACAGAGGGGGTGCTCGAGCAGCTTTCCCGGGGTCTGATGCTCCCCAGCATTAGGCAAGAGGCCAGTAGCTTGACTAGTGGCTCCTTGGAAAGCACGACCATGCACCAGGCCGTGGTGGTGAGTTCTGCTTCTCTCCCTTTTTCTATTGTTGTTCGTCAATCTTCTTTCCTCGTACCAACAGTTGGTTGTTTCGTAGTCTGTTTACTTGGTCGTCGACCTCGTCGACCACCTCCGTGCACTGCAATGCCTTTGTGAGGTACGGGAGGTGGAGTTCAAGTAGTTGAATGCAGAACATGCTGAGTTGGAGCGCGGTGTCGAAGAGCAGGATGACACCATTCACAAGCTGAAGAGCCACACCCATGAATTGAAGGAGACATGGGACACACTGAAGAAGGAGCTCGGGGACGCCGAAGCGAAGGTTGCTCGGGCAGAGGAAGAGGGGGTTTCCAAGTATAAGGCTTTGGAGGCTTTATCACAACGACTTGGATGACTTCGCCACCGAATCTTGGCAGTAGGGGTTCGTTCTCTGCCAGTAGAGGATTGTGTGCTATTTACTTGAGGTGGGCGAGGCTATTCAAGGGTTTGGCCTATTTGACCCCCCTACGCCTGATGGGAAGGGTGCCGCTACCGAGGTCTAGAAACGAGTCGAGGAGCCCCCTACCAACGACTGAAGTGCCCTGCCTTATCTCTTTTTTTTTGTTATGATGTACGTGGCTTGGTATGCCGAGCTTTGAACTTTGTAATTATTTTATCAATTAATGAAAGATCAAACTTTTGCCGAGTATTGTGTCCACCCTTTTATTTTACTATTAAGCTTAGTGAATAAGTTGATTATGGCCTCAATCTTGTGTTGGCCAAGGTATTAGGTAAACAAGGTCGATAGCTTGGTGACTTTGATGTTGACCGAGGCCCTTGGTCTTTGTTGAATGAGGTGCTTTGGTCTTCATCAATTGAGGTTGCTGGCTTAGTGGCCTTGATCTTATATTGGCCGAGGTCCTCAATCTTCGCTGACTAAGATGCTCTGGCCATCATCGACCAGGGTTGCTGGCTTAGTGGCCTCGATCTTATATTAACCAAAGTCCTTGATCTTCGATGACCGAGGTACTTCAGTCTTCATTGGCCAAGGTCTCTGGCTTGGTTTCCTCGGTCCTGTGCTGATAGAGGTCTTTGGTCTTTGTGGGTTGAGGTCGCTGATTTGGCCTCAACCGCTCGGTCTTTACTAGCCGAGGTGCTTCCAAGCTCTCAATGTTGTTGGGAAGCTCGATGGCACTTGGTCCCAGAGAGTTGTGCGCTCTTTGGTTGGGCTAGCCGTGGTCCTCGCTTAGCGTTGCTCCAACTACTAGTCAACTGATTGTGCAGAGTTTGATGGTCGTCCTCTTGCCATTGTATGGCGGGGATGTTGTTCCCGCAGTACCTGTCGGTGGCTCATCCTAGCCTCGACTGTCTACGGTTAGTCGGGTCTTTCGTGGGGTTGTCACCATGTTATGGTTGTTGGTCAACATGAAGTTTGACTGTTGAAGTTCGGTTGGGCTGTGCATGGGTGTCTAATCATTCAGGCTTGAAGAGGATCTTTATTTATTAAATTTGTACAGTTCGATCGCCATTAGTGCTCGACGCTGGTGGCCATTGGTACATCATAGTTCTGTCGCTCTAGCTCCTTGGGTAAGTCTTATGTACTTAGTTTCCCCTTTTAAGGTTTATCCCACCTAAAATGGTGGTAATTACCTCGACTAGGGGAGCTCGGGTTAGGGGCTCGTCAGCGCAGCGCAGTTCTTCCCTAGGCTTGTGTTCTTTGATGTCAATGAACCCACAAATGTATCCGCGTCAGATGAGGTCTTTTAGGTGGTGGTAGAGGTTGTGGAAGCTCTCGGTGTCATGGTTGTGGTCGTGGTGGAAGTCGTAGAACTTGTCTCAACTTCTCTTGTTGCTTTGGGTTTTCATCTTCTCGGGCCACTTGATGAAACTACAGTCACAAATTTGCATCAGTATGCGAGGCCGTGGAGCGTTGAGCGAAGTGAAGTTTTGAAATGTCGATGGTGGGGTCCTTGGTCTAAGGTTAGGTTAGCGATTTGTCCTTCTCGTTTCTTGTTCCGGTCTTCGGCCATCGTGGTCCTTGTGCTTCCGGTCGTGTAGGTCTTCATCCTCTGTGTGCAGCGTTTGGACCTCTTCGGCATTCATGTACTTCTGTGCGTGCTTCATGAGCGCAACCAGGTTGAGGGGAGGGTTCTTTTATAGTGAAAAGCTAAACGCTTAGGAGCGCAGACCGCTCATAATAGCGGTCACTGCTACTGACTGGTTTAGGGCTCAGACTTGAAAGGCCTCAGCGTTAAACCTCACCAAGTACTCTCTTAAGGTCTCTCCCTTCCTCTGCCGCACCTGCTTGAGGCTGACTGACGTCTTCCAATGTCTCTGAATGGTGATGGACAGTGCCAAAATCTACATCTCTAGCTATTCCCAGGAGGATATAGACCATAGAGGAAGGTAGGCATACCAAGATCTGGCGACTCCACGAAGGGTGGTGACAAAGGCCTTGTACGTGAGACCTTCGAAAGAGCCCTACAACATCATCACGACCTTGAATCCTTTGACGTGGTCATTGGGGTCGGAGGCTCCATCATAGTTCTCAAACTGAGGAGGTCGCTAGCCGGCTTGTGGGAGCTCGCCCATGATAACCTGGGTGAAAACATGCTCCTTCGTAGACTGTCTGAGGTGTTGTTCTGTGGGTCTGGCCGTTGGAGGAGCCACACTCTTGTCTGCTTGGCTATGTTCCATTTCAACTAGTCGTTCTCTCAGTTCCCTAATCTCGATGTCTCTGTCGGCTGTGATCACGTCCACAGACTTCTCTCCCTTTGGAATTGCATGTCGGTCTTTGACCGAATTGGACTCGGCTATCGAGATTAGTGGTTGTGGTGGACCCTGGCCGAGCCATTCTTTCGCTAGTACTCGGGTGGAAAGATGTGATTTGCTATGGACGTTACATGCACGAGACCGAGCCAGGGAGTCTAGTCTTCTAGGTGACTACTGTCTTTCATGGTTGGACCGGACTTTGCCTATCTAGTTGGCGCTTTTTGGGGTCCTCGGTGTGAGGATCAATAGTAGTAAGCGCTTGTGCGGTAGGGTGAACAGTCTGAGGGGCTTGAGCTAGCTATCACAATGCCTTCGTCATTGTAAGAATGTGGTCGGCCTTATGTTGCATCACCTGGAATTGTGTAGGATTGACCGTGGTTTGCTGTTGGGGCTCTCGAGGTGGAGAGTTGCGGTGAGAGCAGGAACCTCGAGATGGGGAACGAGCTTTAAAGCGGTCGAATGTGTGTCTGGGCATGATTTTCTTGAGTGCGCGGAAAGGGTTTTGGGAAATGGCTTTTTGTGTGCTTCCCACAGATGGCGCCAATCTGATTCTGTCCAATCTGATGTGTCCCTGACCGAGGACGCAACCAGATAGTCTTGCCAACTAGATGAAACCGAGGTGGAAGGACGAAGTAGTGCACTAGAATCTGCAAACAAAAAGGGAAGGTCAGAGGCCTGGGGAGTTGTTCCCCGGGTAGATACTCTCATGTCAGTTGAATGGAAGGATATGAGGCCAGGCCGAGCAGGTAAGAGTAGTGCTTGTTCGAGCCGAATAAGTAAAGTAGAAGTATAAAGGTCCAAAAGTCCATTTACCTTGAGTGGAGGTTACCTATTTATAGCCAAAGATCCGTGTCCTATTTGGATGAGGCTTTCGGGGTTGCCGGTACTTGGTTGCTCATTGAGGTCTTCGGGATGAGTCCTTTTCCTCGGTAGAGTTACCTTCCTTATCCGTACGAGGCTCCCCTTTCTGGTCGTACTTGTCCATTTCCATATGGTACCGACATGGCTGGGGAGATAAAATGGTCACAGATGCTAACATGTCCATGGCCAGCTCAACCATAACCCAAACACTCGGTTTAATCTTAAAATGCCTTCTTTTGAAAGTTAGTTTTAATATTTTAAAAGTTTTAAATCATAGATATAATTACCTGATACAAATAGTTGACAAATTGATAACAATGGGGGACTACACGGAAAGTTTTTAGGAGTTGAAGCGGCATGTTTTGAACTTTGTGTATTAAAATGAGATTACCCCAAATTTGAGTGTAATAATATGCAATTTACCATAAATCAAACACTATGAATTCAAATTTGACTCCAATTCCCATCTCAACCACTTATCAAAAAAAAATTTCCCATCTCAACCAAACAAAACAGGATTTCAAATTTCAATGTTGCAGTTTCGATTCCGACCGTAAACCAAACGGATCCTTAATTCTTGAGTGAGAGTGCTTCCTGTAGCAGAACTTGATAAATATACCAACAAAGTTTAAAATTGTGAACAGAGATACTACTGGACTCTTTTTCGTGTCTAAATTTGATGTACGAATTACTTTTAGTTAGTTAGAATCAATAACTGATTAAAGCCTCACTGAAACAATTCAGCCGTCTGATTCGCGCGCGGTTAGATCACCCGTAGCTGATTCCCTGCGGGGTGGGACCCATTTCCTCGAGGTGGGTAGACTCTTTTCTTTGTGCGGTTCACATCTGCCTTTCATTTATATCAATCAATCAACCTCCCATCCATCAAACAGCCTCCCGACACGATACCAACCCTAATCTACATCCCTCCATCGATGCGATGGAGATGTGTACGGCAGATAGCCAGAAATTGGTGAGGACGGTTTCACCACGTCCCACCCCCTTATCTCTACCTGACTATCTCTCATGCTCTCTCTCTATATAAATGAAAATTAAATGGTTAATAAATTCGGCTGGAACAACATCCTTCTCTGCTGATCTGCTCCGACGAGAACAACTAATAAAGAAGAAGCTGCAGCATCAGAACTAAGGAGTTGATTGGGAAGAACATATACATGGTTTCTGTAAATCCAAACCCAAATCCATCCGACGGTTTGTTCTTAGATCCCATGGAAATGGCGCTCCCCGGCCTCGGCTCTTTGGCACCAACCACAACTCCATCAGACGACCCGGCTAAGAAGATTAGGAAGCCCTACACCATCACTAAATCCCGAGAGAGCTGGACTGAACAAGAGCACGACAAGTTTCTAGAAGCTTTGCAACTGTGCGTATCTCATCAAGCCCACTGCTCCTCTTCTTGCATCCTCCGTCATGTCTTCCGCTGCTTTGTATTTGGTTTGTCAATTAGGTGTTTTGTGTGTTTCAAATGAGATTTTTGGTTTTTCTGGTCTAAAACTGGGGGTTCTAAGCTGTTCTTGTCTTTCCTCCCTCACCGGACACAATCTAAACTGAGAAATTGAGAAATGATTCCGGGTTTTAAGCAGAAGCTATTAGGGTTTTTGATAGCTGTCAGGGGTAAAGACGTTTCAGAGAAATGGCGGGACTCCTATGGTTCTTAATTTCTGTTGATTGTGTTTAGGGTTTTTCTTACTCAAGTGAGCCCGTGCTTGCCACAGCCCGATGTTTTAAGCCCTTGTTCATTTTGCCAATATGTTTGTTGTTACATCATCTGAAACCAACATCTTTTTCGTCATAGTTGATACAAATGAATTTCTCGACTCTTTTTTTTGGTGAATATCTGAAGCCGTACTATTGAGCTCCAGTCGCAGAAAAGGTAGATACTTGGATTAAAAAACATATTTCAATTTCTCAGTCAATGCAGGATGTGTCATTTTACATTATTTTTCCAACCTAGAGTCCTATACTTCACTGCTACACTACTTTTGGTTCCCTGATAGTCACTGGATGCAGTGAATTAATTGTATGATTTCCAATGGACGTATGATCTCAACCAGAGTAAGACATATTTAGGTCTAGTTACTTTATTCTCAAGAAAAAAAAGGCTTATTTGGATTATCCAAACCTATTTAAATACCTTTTGAGTTTATTTTTCATCATTTGTTTGTTAAACTTCTCTTTTATCTGGGTTAATTGACTTTGAAGTCACACTTGATTATATCATCTCACGCTTATATGTGCAAGTGGTAAACTTTGTTGTATTAATTTACTCATATAATAAATCTGGACTGAGAATGGAGTAGGATCTCTTTATATATAAATAATATATATTTAAATCTATAGGCTAAATGTTCTCAAAACTTGAAAAAATCTCAAATAACCTTATGGTTTACAATACAATTCATATTCAGTCCATTATGCAATTTTTGATATGATCCCAGTTTTCAGAACATCCAGCATGCAGACAAGCTATTAAATGTGCCCTTCAAAGTCATGGAGAAAGAGGGGTAACTAATAATGCAAGAAGCATGGTCATGAATTCATGATTATAGAATATGAAGGTTGTAGTGAGTTTTGGAAGCAGTTTACAAATGGAAAAACTCTACTTCAGTAATACCTTGAACAGAGGCTTCTTTAAGAGGCGTTCTCCATATCTCTGGCTTGACCATGACAAATCCTTCTAGCACCATTTTTAACATTCAAACTTTAGTTGAAGTGTTTACTTGGTCAGTGACCTTTAGGTGGTAGATAGGATTCTGCAAGAGAGCTTCATCTAAGGTTGAGATCATTTGTTTTCCCTTGAGTTTGGGATCTCTGTTCTTTGTTTACTGAAGATGATGATGACTATTCTGAAGTTACTTCTGTTCCATGGTCATTTCAGCTTTGATCGTGACTGGAAGAAGATTGAAGCTTTTGTTGGGTCGAAGACTGTTATCCAGGTATGCTTGAAGTGCATGGTTATTATCCCCTTGCAAAGATTATTTTGACCTGCCTCCAGTCTTTTCCATTTATATAGTTAGGAAAGAAAGGGAGTTTCTTCAGTTCCTTTTTTTTTTTAATTTCTTTTCATGTCTTCTCTAGTTATATAGTAGCATAACTTGAATGACAATAACCGTGCCAAATTGCAAATGCTTCACTATAGGTCTCAAGTTACTGTCAAATTGCGAAGATTATTTTGCATGCTAATGAGGATAAATTATTGACTTTTGATTATGCATTTTTCTTTGAAGCTGCATAAACATTTGTTCCTTAGCATGAGAGAACCAACCCATGTTAGATTATCATTGTGGCTTTTCCCAAAGCCACTAATTTGTTTGTGCCGGTGTTAATGGGATTTCATTCAATTCCAGGAATATTGATTCACTTTAACCGTGGCTCTGGTGTCCATTAAACCGATCAAATCAATGGAGGAAGAATAATATAGGTATATATTATAAATATAAAAGTCGAGGTAGAATAATGTAGGTCATCGTCATCATCATCATCTAATCTTGTCTCAATTATATTGGGCCCTGAGGCTACCACTTCAATCTGGAACCTACATGACATAGCCATTAATTGAAAAGAAATGAGAACAACAAAACTTGTGACTATAGAAGATTTTATTAAAAACGAATCCTAATGATTCATTGGGTGGGATGGTGGAAAAAATCAGGAATCAATTAATTTATTCTAAGAGGTTATGGGATGACCTTACAAATGAAGCAAATATTGAAAGAGTAAATATTTGTTCAAGAAAGCATTCATATTGGGTTGCTAAATCTTGGGCGATTCAATAAAGGGAAAACAAAAATTCTTTATAAAGGGGTATTACATTTATCTATAAATACCTGTGTTGTAATTATACTTGTAGAGAAGGTAGAGAAGCCTTGGAAACTCATTTACTTTTAATGGTAATTCATAAATAGGAATATTAGGTAAAGTTGTGTCTTATAAAGAAAAAGTAGGTGGCAGAAGGGGAGGGTGGAGAGGACTTACCTTAGTCATCACTTCTGCTGGAGACATTATTGTTTTTGTGGATGTTGCCTGTATATGTCTCTTTCTCTCTCCTCCTCTTCCTATCATGTGCCATTAGAGTTGTTGCATCACCAGTGGCCTTTGTTTCATGTTGTCAGCATTTCACTTCTCTCTCTCTCCTCTCAATCTGACTCACATCTCCATCTCCCCTCTTCTCTTTTTCAGCCTCCGTCCTTGTTTTTAAACAGTTTGTCATACATTATTATTTTTATTATTATTACACCTTAAGCATTTCAACTTAGTATTTATTTATTCATTTGAATCATGACCCATGAATGGTTTGAATGGTTCACTGGTTTAACCATCTGGGTTGACAGGTTTTAACCAAAATCAACAATTCTTTTGGCCTATCTTCAGGTTTGGGGTAGAATGAACCTGGACTTATTGGATGATGGGTTAACTAACTGGCTGGATCAACCATAGGTTAAACACATTGATATAGTGCATAACCCTTTTTTGGTTAAAAATGAATGTCTGTTTTGTATGAGCTATTGCATGTAACTTAGGCTAAGTGGTTTTAGAACCATTAATGATCAGTGAATTGATAGATACATTTACAACTTTTTTCAAAAAATTACCCAAGTACTTTGTTGTTTTTTAACAAAAAAAAAGTATGCCCAAATATGGGATTTCACTGTTCTCATTAGTAGGTTTCTCAAATTTATGACATGGAGATGTCGTTTTCCCCATTGATTCACTTTTCACAAGAAGTCTTCAAAAGGAGTTTCTTGCACCAGTGGTTATACATTATTAAAATGCACTACAGAGAGCATAGAGCTATCATGCTGGATCATGAAATATTCATCTTAACAAGAAATTGTATACATGATAAAATATCCATCACAAAGATAGCTCAGCTTGTTTAGCACCTCATTTACATGCATGCGAATGTCTTTCAAGGAAGTTTATCATGTATTTGGTTATATAGCCTATATTTGGATATTAAGGTGTAGTGTTTGCAGATACGCAGCCATGCACAAAAGTACTTTCTGAAAGTCCAGAAAAATGGAACAAGCGAACATGTACCTCCACCTCGGCCTAAGAGAAAAGCAGCTCATCCCTACCCACAGAAAGCCTCCAAAAATGGTTAGTATATGGTTCAGATTTCAGAACTGTTCTGCTTAGTTTCTTAATTTAGAAACTTAAATGAAATCTGTCATATTCTCTTAAACACTGCAGCTCCAGTTCTCTCACAAGTCACAGGAGCATTCCAGTCTTCTTCTGCCCTGCTTGAACCAGGATATATCCTTAGGCCAGATTCATCATCAATGCTTGGGTATCCTATTAGAGGTGCAACATCCTGGGTTCATAATTCTTCTCCACCAGTTAATGTGTCACACATGGCAAAAGGTTCTACTGTTTCCTGACCTGGTCTCTATTATGGTAAATGTATTGCCCTTTTCAGATACACTGGTCCTTGTGCAGAAATAGTATTCAGCTCTGTTATTTTTCCAGATAATATGGGATCCGCCATGCCTACAGCACTAAACAATTGTTGCAGTAGCACTGAAAGCACTCCAAGGAGATGGCCAACCTGTGAAAGAACTGATCAAGGGAATCAAGGCCCACCACTGAGGGGTAAACTCTTTCCTTATGCAAATATCATTGTTTGAGAAAAAATAAGTATAACTGAAATGAATTTTGAGAGTGAAGATGCCCCAAGTCCAACTAAACTAACATTTCCTTTCTTGTTTTGCCATTTTTTTGATTGTTAACAGTCAAACTTTGTGCAATTCCCATCACCACCCTGTGATGAAAAGAAAATATAGGGTGTTGGCGTCTATCTAGAATTCCCTTCACTTTTTTGTGCTGTTCTTTTTTTTTTTTTTATAAATTTTTAATTGTTTACAGTGAAACCTTATTGTTTATTACAAAAGAATGCTTTATGTTCAAGCATTAATTGCCTAGCACTCCCATATATGGACTAGCATATTTTAACCAGCCGTTTTTTTTTTTTATGGTAAAAGGAAAAATTTCATTAAAAATAAAATAAAATAGTACAGACTAATAAGGTGTTGAGGCAACACCTCCCAACAAATAAGAACAAAAGATACAACTCAAAAAATCTGTCGTTTATTTTTCTTTTTAATAAATTTTATTTTTATGACAAAAAAAGGTACAACTCAAAAAATCAACCCAAATACAATTATACAAATTACCATCCTTAAATATCCTTAGTTTTGTCCCCAAGCTCCTCTTTGTTGACACATTCAAATTCTGGGATAATCAAAGCTCAAATTGAAACTGATTTACACAGTGTTTTAAAAGCACAAGGTGCAAAAAAAGCACAAGGTGGGCACATGGCAATGTACATGCCTTTTTGAAGCAAGGCACAAAAATGCACAAATGCCAAAATAAATTAAAAAAATGTCAGAAAATTCAAAAAATGCAAATAAAAACTAAAAATATTAAGCATAATATTAATAAAAAAATATAACCTTAAATTTTAAAACAAATGTTTTAAAAAACCTATTATCTAAAATTAAAATACATAAGCATAACATGTAAAGCACATTCAATGAAAATTTAAAAATAAAATCAAATAGCTTATGTGATGTAAAACATCTTGCATTCCTAATTCTACGAGCCGCCTTTGTACCAAGCCCCTTGAGGCAAGCCCAAGCAAATCCATGTTAGGATCTTAAATTCTTAATCCTTACACAAAAATAAATGATTTTATAATGTTAATTGTTGTTTAAGAAGGTATTTTACTAACATGTATTTGTTTGGGCTTGCCTCGAGGGGCTTGGTTGGGGGCCGGGGGTGGAGCCTCCAGCCCAGCCATTAGGTTCAAAAAAGAACAAAAGGCACATGCCTTTTGAAAATGCTGTGCCTAGGACCCAAGCGAGGCACATACCTTAAAATGTGCCTCGCTTGAGCGCCTAGGTGCAACTGAGGCACACCTTTTAATTCATTGGATTTACCTACAGCCATCACCATCCTCTCTAAGCTCCATGCCATGTCTTCAAATGCTTTTCTATTTCTCTCCTTCCAAACATTCCAGTAGATAGCTAGAGGTTAACAATTCAGTATAATCGTCAAGGTGTTGCCTAGGTGTCGCTTAGGCGACTTGACACCCTTAGCCGGGCGTCTTACCTTGCCCAAACACCTTGACTTGTAGCAACTAGACACCCTCTAGGCGACTAGGCATCCCTCTAAGCGACTAGGCATCCCTCTAGGCAACTATGTGCTTGCCTAGGCGACAAAAATGACAAGATGGGTCCCTTATAAAATATCATTTATATTGTTGTATCTTATTAATATGTGTGTTAATACATTTTATTATATGCTATATATATCATTTTTTTTGATAAATGATTAATAATTTATTCATGATAATCAGAATGAAATTGCAATACAGCTTGCCCAAAGGAGAGGCACGAGCTGGTACCTCTACACAACAACAACAAAGTACTACATCAGACTAGGAAATGAAAGTTTACAGAGCTGCCCAGATTAAACGTTCCCTTGATACCCCTTGCTTAGCTAACCCATCTGCTATGGTATTAGTTGTTCTACCCACCCACTGATAATTAACAGTCATGTTCCTTGAAAACCAGTTAGCTTTCCTCATAATATCCTTGTAGCACCAAATAACTGAAGCTGGATTTTTTAACCAACCCACAGCGACTTTGGAGTCTCCTTCAATAAGCAAATTCTGAACTCCTAACTGGTTTGCAATCTGAATACCTTGTACTGCCGCTAGAAGCTCAGCTCTAATAGAGTCTCCTATACCCATGGAGCCTGAGAATAAAGCTAATATATTACTATCTTTATTTCTCAGCACCCCACCTATCCCTGATGGACCCGGATTTCTTTGGCTGCTACCATCAAAATTCAGCTTTGTCCATCCTTGTGAAGGAGGCACCCACACAGCTGGTACCCTGTTCTTCCTGTTATTGCTACTAGCCACAGCAATCCAGTTCCTCCAAATGTCATTAAAGGAATATATTTTAAAGGAATCCAATGATCTCAGCCAATGGATTGCCTTGGTCAAAATGCAATCCCTTATGTTTTGAATATTTCTCTCTTTCTCTTGGAAAATCCTCGCATTTCTTTCTTCCCAAATTGTCCACAAAGCAGCAGCTCTAATGCACCTCCACATTGTTTTACCAATTTTTGTGGGCCACACAAAGAAGGAAGGGTCAAAGATCTGATCTACGACTGTGGTCAAATTACATTTGCAACCAAACAAAGCAAAGATCCAACCCCAAATAGCGTCAGAAAAAGAACAGGTTACAAGTAAGTGAGAACAATCCTCATCATTAGCCTTGCAAAGTACACACCAATTAGGAGACAGGCACATAGAAGGCCTTCTCTTTTGCAATAAGTCTGAAGTGTTGATTTTCCTATAGAACACCTCCTAGCAGAAAATAATAATTTTAGGAAGTACAAGTTTAGACCAAATCTCCTTAGCTGGGAAACCCACTCGTCCCGAGGGAGAGCAAAGGGTCTTAAAGGAGGCACATGTGAAGTAACCTTTTGGATTGGGGGACCAAGGTCTCACATCAGATCTTAAAGGGTCCAGAAAAACACTTTCAAGTAGTGACAAAAGGTCTGAAACACAAGAGAGTTCATGATCCCTCAAGCCCCTACGAAACCCAAAGTCCCAATTCAGAGAGGATGGAGAAACAGATGTTGGGAGAAAGTGAGAGATTGCTTTACCCTTGTAGCAAGAAAGGGAAAAGAGAAAAGGGAAACTGTCCTTAAGGGTAGAATTGCCCACCCAGATGTCTTCCCAGAACAAAACAGAAGTACCGGAATTGACATCATACCTGATACAATTGAGGAAAAAAGGGAGAATACTCTGAATTGCTTTCCAAGGAGTTGCCAACGTGGCTCGACGCGATACACCAGCATCCCATCCATTTCCCGAACTGCCATGTATACTATCTATGACCTCATGCCATAGTTTCTCCTATTCTAAGGGCCATCTCCACAACCATTTTCTTAGGAGTGCTTTATTCTTCAAAACTAAGTTCCCCAGTCCCAACCCACCCTCCCCTTTCCTCCTACACACTATTCCCCAATTTATTAAGTGATCATTTTTTTCCTCCCCTGGCTCCCAAAGAAAATTTCTCATTAATTTCTCCAACTTCTTGGCCTCCCTAACAGGAATCCTAAACACAGAGAAGTAATAAATCGACAGATTTGCTAAGGAAGCTTTTAGTAATGATACCTTACCCCCTAAAGAAATGTAGTTCCTTTTCCACGAGGCTAACCTTTTCTCAAACTTTTCCAGAACCAGGGCCCAAAAGGTGCTCTCCTTAGGGTTGGCTCCTAGAGGTAGACCTAAATACTGTAAGGGCCAAGAGGAAATGGGACAACCTAGACACTCAGCCATAGACTCAATAGTCCTCTCATCCAGATTCACACCCACTACACAACTCTTTTCCATGTTTATTTTAAGATTTGATACTCTCTCAAAGCGCTTTATCAAAGATTTGAGATTACTTACTGTTCTTCTATCACCCCCTTCACATAAAATTATTAGGTCATCAGCAAACTATAAGTGGGTCACCCTAATCCCGTTCCTTCCTATCCTCCAACCTCTCACTACTCCTTCCATGTTTGCCTTGGAGATCAAACCACTGAAAGCATCTGCAACTAGGGTAAAGAGGAAAGGGGAAAGGGGGTCACCTTGCCTTAACCCTCTAAAAGTTGGGAAGAAATCCTTGACTACCCCATTAACCAAGACCGAAAAATGGCAAGAACTTATGCAGCTCTTTATCCAATTACACCATCTAACTCCAAACCCACAACACCCTAGGACCTCTAATAAGAAACTCCAATCCACAAGATCATAGGCCTTTTCTAAATCCATCTTACAAACAAAACCTTGCTTTCCGGACTTTCTCATATCCTCCACACATTCATTAGCCATTAGGCACGAATGCTCCCTAGGCTTGACTAATGATGGAGGTGCACTACTTTAATCCTCAAAGATAACACTTTAGCCAGGATTTTGTAAATGCTAGTCACCAAATTGATCGACCTAAAATCTTTAGGATTTTTTGCTTCTTTCTTCTTAGGGATTAGAGCTATGAAAGTGGCATTAACTCCAGGGCTTACTTTGTTATTATCCTCAAATTCCTTAAACACAGCACAAAGGTCTTCTCTTACTACATTCCAGCAGTCTTGATAAAAAACCATGGTGAAGCCATTTGGCCCAGGGGCTTTGGATCTGTCCATTGAAAACACTGCATGCCTAATTTCCTCTTCAAAACTTCTCTCTAACCAGTTTGTTTGCTCTTTAGACAGCCTAGGCCAATCTAGACCTTCCAGCCTTAGTTTATTATTCAATGGTTTCCTTGCAATTGATTTAAAGTGATCCACCAACACTTTGGCTATCTCATCTTGATTTGTGACTTCCTCCCCATCCACTTCTAATTTGGCCACAGTTTTTTCTTCTCCTCCCATTAGCCAACACATGGAAAAATTTTGTATTGCCGTCCCCTTCTTTAATCCATTTGTGTCTTGACTTTTGCCTCCAGGAAATCTCCTCTCTAAGAAGAACTTCTTCCAATTCCCTAAGCTACTTCTCAAATTCCATTTTTGCTCATTCATAGTTCTTTGGG